CGGATGAGCGGACAAACTCAGGTTCTGGAACAAGGCCAAAGTCCAGAGGCAGACGTACATCCAGAACTTTCCGCTGCAGTTTACAGCTGGTGAACGCAAAGAAAAAGATATCTGATGTAAATGTGATACCCGACCAATACTTAAGAAGAAATAATCTGTATACAGATTCGGGTGCTTTATTAATTTCCTACCCCAAACAGGGTAAATCCACAGGTCACGGAACAGACTAATATTTCAGGAGCTGGTAGATAGGCTGTATGCAGCCGTGGGACTTATGCTGCATGCATTCGTGGGAAGTAGGGTGCACTCTCTCCTGGGACGTAGGTGGGTTGGGGTTAGTTCTAGATGTTTTTGGGTCGTTAAAAGCATTAGAAAGCCGAAAAACCCAGTCTTACCACCCTTTAAAATGCTGGACAGTCCTGTGACGTCATCTGGGGAGGATAATAATAAAGAACCCAGATTCGTTATGTTTCACTGACAAACCATGTTTCAATGTAAGTAAAGGACCCTTTTCACATTATTTGCTGATCGGGCATTTGGTTCTAGACCTGTATGTTTCTATAAATCAATCAGAACTCGATGTAGTCAACGTTACGTGCTCAAAAAGACTTGTCACGGTAGCTTGTTTGCTGTCACATTCATTCACATCGTCTGCAATTGTAAACACAGTAGGACGTCGTTTAACGACATGCTGAGGAAGGTGAAGACAGGCATGCTTTGTGCAGAGTGGCGTGCTTCGCTTAGAAGGTGACCGGTGAGGAGCATTGCCTTGATCTTTTCTCGGGGGTGGTGGGAGTGGGGTGGGGGGGGGGGGTGGAGCCGGTATGTTAAAAATAATTAAGCAGACAGGCTGGCTGGCTCTACACAACTTGGGGGAATACTGATGCATGATAAGGCAAGCGTGTTTAGAGTCTTGTGGGAAAATTCGGAGGAGCAAATGTATCACCTCTGTCTGGTCAGAGTGATGCAGCGTGGAGTGACGCGGGAATCTGTCCGAAACTCGAAGCTCACATTAAAGTCAAGACGGACGTATAATCAGACAGCCACTGGCACCATGAGTATTGGAACTCTGCACTGGCTGCTGGAGATAGGGACTGAGCGCTTATGGGAATGCCCCGAGTGCTGAAATGTCGGTTCTTAAATCAGCTCAGCTCAGCTAATACGAAATCCAAGGGGCCTAAACAAACCAAAATGTCCTGCTAACAGATACGTGCCTTTCGGAAAACCATTGAATACATACATCCCTTAGCTGAACCCAATGTATTCAGTCAATGCAAGCATATTTTGAATATCTTCTTTGCGTACATTTCTGTTTGATAATTGTTTTAATGTCCGACTAATACAAAGTGCTCAAAAGACTTGTCACAATAGCTAATTTGTTGTCATAATTCATTGACACCATCGGCATTTGTAAATACAGTTAGACCTAGTGACTTGAACTTAAATGGATACATCTCTGCAGTGTCAAACATTTTGTTGATGTTAAACAAATGTTTTTCTTACGCTAGTTCGTGTTAACTAGGTTTTACTGTATTATTTTTCTGAAATGTTTTATATTTTTTTAGTTCTTTCTATAGTTATCTTTTGTTCTTCACATGTGTAGTTATCTCCTGCCTTGTCAATGATTTTAACATGCATATCTTTGTGCAGTTGGTAAACGCAGGTTTTGTTTCTACAGCAACTTATGTAAATTATTTGTTATTAGGACGATAGGGCTATTTTATGCTATAGCGAGGCGAATGAATCACAACCCTTGACGATGCCGAGGGTTTGCTTTTTCCTCACGAATAGACCCATTGCCCACCGTCACCCCAAAACAAGCAAGAAGCTTGCTGAAATCCACTGCTGCCTGTACAACACCAGGCTGTGCTAAAATCATATGTGTTGGGTCGAAGGCGCAATATATCAAACCTTAGCTGTAAACGAACACACGACGGGTCAAGATAGAAAATAGTAGAAGAAGAAAAAAAAGTAGGTGAAGTAGAAGAAAAAGGAGAAAAAGATAAAGGAGGAGGAGGAGGAGAAAGAGGAGGATGAAGGTGAGAAGATAAATAATAGTAGCAAAAGAAGAAGAAGAAGAAGAAGAAGAAGAAAAGGAAGAAGAAGAAAAAGTAATAGTGGAAGAAGAAGAAGACGAAAGAGAAAAAACAGAAGAAGAAGAAGAAGAAGAAGAAGAAGAAGAAGAAGAAGAAGAAGAAGAAGAAGAAGAAGAAGAAGAAGAAGAAGAAGAAGAGGAAGAAGAAGAAGAAGAAGAGGTAGAAGAAGAACAACAACAAAAAGAAGAAGAAGAGGGGAGAAGAAATGAAGAAGACGTTTTTGTTGTATTATAAATGTGTTATATTTTAAACCAAGAATAACTATCTATGCACTACCAACTTTGATTATTCTCAGTTTAACATGATATATAGCAAATTGTTCAGCCTTGTTGTATATTGACATCTGTCATATTTCTTTAGCTCTTTCCTTGTTGCTCTAGTCAGTGTACTGTTTGCATGTGTAAATGACTATATGAAATAAAGATAATAATTTGTGTTTATGTTATCTGTTGCATTATTTATTTGTTCTATGTGCTAACAGGCGTTACAGAAAAGGGATAACAATTCTAGTTGTAATAATTATTTTTTTTTTACATTTCAGCCTTTTAAATGTGATGGTCTGTAGTTATATAAATTGTTTTTAAATACCCTGTAGAATTGCTTCATCGATGTCGTTTTTATTATGTATGATGGCTGCACCATCTTAATGAGTTTGTATAAGTTAAGCTGAGCAATAAAGATATATAACTTACGTTTTCTATGATGCGATACCTCTGTTGGGTAGTAAAATTTAGCATCTGGTCTTCTATGGGGACACCCATACTGAATAGGAAAAATTAAAGCAGGAGAGCAAGAGATAGACAACGATATAAATGGGAGGCCTTTATAAAAGTGGATAAATAGCAGCTTCAGTGTACACCTACCTAGCCATATTTTATTGTGGAGAGGACACCTGCATGACGTATTGCTAAGAAAGACAAACATTATAGTGTGTATGCAAATTGCATACAGAAAAAAAAAATTGAAACCCTAAAGCGCAAACTAGAAGACCGTTGTCTAGAAAATAATTCACAATTGTGGGATGCAATTTTTAGTTATTTGAAGCCCCACCCTGGTTTTTTTGCCGGAGGGCCTTGAACGCTGGGCCACAATTGCGGTCATAACGGCTGAAAGGGGTTTCTGGGACCTCTCCATGGGTGATCATCCATACTTTGAGTCACCAGGTTTTTATCGCTTATGTGACGTCCTGGTGGGGTACAATAAGCAAGCAGGCAGCAATATAAATTATTAAGTAAGTAAAGTAGTAAAGATCCCTTTACACGCCATTGGGCGCATCGGGCTATGGGAAGAGCACCCATATTTTTACAGACCAATCGGCACTCGGTGGGTAATGTGGTCAGCATTACACCGGCCGTCTTCACTTTCACAGGACAGCCCATCCTGGTACCCATTTGAGGCTGGGTCGACCTGCGACGCCCCAAACCACGATAAAAATCCACGCTGCCCGCAGTGGGTTTCGATCGCGGTACGTTGGATTACGAGTCGGACTCGCAACGCCGTAGCCACGGACGCCGCCGATATAAATTAGTGGGACAAAATCTGTCTACAGCAGTTGTAGAGAACATCAGGAAGGCGAGCAGTATATGTCCTGCGAAATCATTTGGCCTTGCTATGTCAAGGCAAACGCACGCTGGGCTCGAAACCTAATAAACTTAAGAGGCACCCAAACCCTCCACAATAATATGAATTTATATTAAATACATCATCAAAAGGAAGCTTCTGTAATCATTTTATTAGGGACGAGTTAATTAAAAGTTCCACAAGTAGCGGACTTTTTTTTTTCTAGTCGATAATTTCGAATGGAATGCGAATGATGCCCAAAATATCGAAAAAGCTTTTGACAAGGAAATGACTGCTCATTCCTGCTCTACCCATTGTACGCCTTAAGATAGAAGCACTCAAAAGTAAGCATCTGGCCTATGAACTAAATGAAAGTCTTGGTATTCTAGGTAATCTTAGTTTTAGCTTGATAGCAAACGGGACACCTTATACTTGCTCCGCTCACGTGCCAACGAAAAACACACAGAATGTCCATCACGTCCATTGTGAACAAATTTACACAGACTGCCATCTGAGCATGTCCACTAGCATACACATTAAAATCATAACGGTAGCCATCAGAAGTTCTAACACAAACATTCCGACACTGGAAATGCAGTTCATCACCGACGGAAGCAGCTGTTACAAATAGATCAGCAGTTGCACTCGCGATTAGTTTTAATCACACAAGACAACACCAATTCTGTCCACTCTCCATTTTCTGAATCTACAGTTGACACCACCACGCTGGTCACAGTCGAAAAACATTCTACAAGAAATCCGCAGCTCACAGTGTCGCGCCATGCACTCACCTCAGTAGCCGGGTGAAAGTATGACATGTCTTGACACACTCAAAGGGATCGTAGACCAGAACTAGATTTCTGTGAAATACATTTTAGTTCTTAATTATGCTCCCCCACAAAGACCGTTTTCCTGGCTTTCGGAGATGTACAAGAATCTCGCTGTGTGCGTGGATGCGATTGGGGCCTCATAACGAATATTACCTGAACTATATTTTTGTGAAATACAGTTTTACTATTTGTTATGCTTTTCTCTCTGCTGTTCTCGTTTTTTTTTTTTTTTTTAATATTCGAGAATTCCCCTGTGGCCAAGATTTAGACCTCATCAGGAATATTCACAAAAGAGCAATGGATGCGCTTATACACAATAGCCCATCTTCACAGTAAAGACGCCAAACATATGTATTTATTCCTACTCTTTAATACTTTTCATAAAACTCATTTATTACGTTCTCGGTTACCGAAGCTGTACCATATTCCCTTTGTTTAAGCACCTTGTTTCCATTCACTCTTTGATTTAAATTACCAGCAGTGTATGGGATGTATGTGAATTTGTTGTTGTATTTCAAATGAAACTACATTTCAGATGAAACATGCTAGATGTGCCAAACATTTCAACAAAGCGGCGTCTAAACGAAATATTGTATGATAAATAAACAAAAATATCAACAGAAGCGTTGACAGTTTGTAGTAAATACGAAACTGCAACCAAATCAACATATAAGTTAAATTCTGTTGTCGCTAGATTTGGATGTGTGTGGTCTATTATGATCAACACAAGTCTAAGAGAATTGCAGATAAACGCCACAATGGCTAAAATGATAACCGTATTCACGACATTTTGTTTCATGTTCACCTTATTATTACCCTTTGAAGTTTTCTTTGCAGCTATGTTGGGAACAATGGCATCACTTTGTTGCACATGATGATGGTCTGTCCACTGATGCAATGAGCGGCGAAGACCTCTGACCATGCTGTAAGTGCTAACGATGAGCATCAGTACACACAGTGACTCAACCGTTAACTGACAGAACATCCTGTTAAGAATATCAACGTAAGGTCTTTCCGGTGATAGCCATAAAACTAGCCGTGTTTTGTTCATTTTGGAGTCAAACTGGTTTTCCAAACCCATGGTCAGATGATCAGGCATGGTGATAATGATATCATAAAGATAGATGCCCATTAAAACGACGACTGCTCTTCTAACGGTGAAAGTATTGCTAAATTTGAGAGGCCAGGTAACACATAGACATCTCTCGACGGAGATAAAAGTTGTAGTTATTGTGGAGATGTTGTAAAACAACGCAGAGATATGAGGCAGTGTATAGTAGATGGCCCAAGGATCAAAGTTTGTAAGAATATTGGCAAATATGAGTACTTTACTAAACAATGTCAGAACTCCAGCTGTTACAGACACTAGATTTGTTACAGTCAGAGACAAGAGACACACGCTAACGCAGTCATGCACTCCTTGTCTTATAAACACTGCAGCGCTCATCACATTTGTGATGGTTCCGAAAACTCCCACAACAGTTACCACGACAGTTCTAAAGTAAATATCCAAATACAGTTGTACTTCATTACTGATTATCTGCTTGCGTGGGGACGCGAATGAAACATTGGATAATGTCATTTTCAGGCTTGTAGTCTCTATATATATAATAGCTGAAACATTCACAAATGTATAAAGATTAGGAGAACTATCTACAGCTACATAACTTTCTGCCTGTGCGATATCAATTCACTTTAAAGGCAACTTTAGTTGCACATCGTTTAAAGGCCGTCATTAACCAATCCCAACATTTGTTGGCTAATTGTTTTTGAACTTAACAATTTTACTTTTAGTAGTTTGCCATTTCTTTCTGAACTGCCCAAAGCTCATGACATTGTTGATAGTAACACAGATAGACCACTGATGGTCTTAGGCTAGCATGGCATCAGCCTATCATGAATGTCGTAAGAGGCGACTGTCATGAGTACAGTTATTTCTCTTACCTACCCTAACGAAGAGGTATAATGTGATAATGCCTAGTCCACCCGATAGAAAAATGTAACAGCAGAATGTAACCAGACCCAGACAAAAACAGTTCCATGTAAAGGACTTGGCTTGGGTTGGTTCAACTGCTATATTGCACTGAGAATTGAAAGGCTGAAGAAGAATCACTTCGCTTTTGCTGATGTAGTAATGGGCAGGAAATAAGATGAGCTGCATGCAATAGCGAAGGATAGAACTAAATAGTTATTCGAGTTATTTGAGAGCCTATGCTCCACTGGACATGTAAGGCAGAAGAATTAAACACAACAACAACAACAACAACAAAACGAATTATTTTTTTTCCATCTCTTAACCATTTAGTGTGTAGATGAACATAAAGGCATTCGATTCTCTTTGTTTTGCTCCCTTCGACAATAGACACTGGATATTATAGTTTCTATGATGTTTTCTTTCTGCAAATTTGAGAATATACCATTACAAGACATTATCTCCAAGTGGACAAACTATTTGATTTTCTGTAAAATATGAACTTTATAATATACTGACATTATCATAAAAATGTGTTATCGTTATATACATATGCGAGTTAATAACAGTCATTAAATTACGCTGGCTCTTCAAATAGTGATTTGTCACCCAACCGCTTAAAACAAGAAAATTAATTGATCCGGAAAGTATTTTTGTTGCACCTTATAAAAAAATGTGGTTTTACTTATCTGTTATGTAACTTATAGTGCAATAATTAAAAAAATAAAGTAATTTTGTCAATTTATGTGCGAAGAATATTTTTTTGACAGACAGCCCGCGTGACTACTAGATTCTGAATTCGCTACATCATTGGCAGTTTAAACAATATCCAGTCAGTGACAGCATCGCGACTACTTATCTGATGCCTATTTTATGTCCTAAGACGTGCTCTAATCACTATCTGCCGTGGCAGATAATTAACAAGTATGCTTTGTACATACACAATTTGTTTTTTTATAAGCATTTAACGCAACTGTTTTAAACTCGACAAAGTGTTTCTCTTCAGATTACAGGTGCAGTAATTAATTAGCAAACAGCAGACAAAAATTAAAAATCCCCCGCAATATAATTTGTTTGACTAACATATACAAAAGCGCAGGAAGCCACCGAAGTGTAGCGGCTAGACGCTCGTCTGCGGATTGGAAGGTAGATGGTTCGGGTTGTGATGGAGCTTGGCTGGTTTGTGTGTGTGTGTGTGTGTGTCTTAAAAAATGATCTTAGCTTCTAGGTCAGCTCAGACTCGAATGAGTGCCAGGATAATTCTGAGAAGTGCCGGTTGATCTTTAAAATATAGGTGTAACCCTACATGTCCATTGCGCCTGAAAGCGTGGGAAACGATATCTTACCTTAATTAATTAGCAGACAACAGATAGGAATTACCCCCCCCCCCCCCCCCCCCCCCCCCCCCCCCCCTCCCCCCTTTTTTTTACACACACACACACTTTCAAACTGTTCAAATCCCATAAACGTTCATACAGAAGAGGAAAAATAATAATTCCGAATATCAGATGTACTTTTACGAACTTATAGTTGTTGTATAGGAGACACCTTTCCGTTTTTCCAAATGATAGTGTTGTATTGTGCTATATCTGCCGGAGCAGTTATTTAACGATGGTTTGCATTGTACAAAAACAATCTTCAAATTAGGGCTCACAGCCCATGGTGATGACTAGTGCGACAAGCAAGTATGGTGATACGTTTTGGTCAGAATGTTTTCTTAATCTCTAATTACATTAGCATGTTATCATCATATTAACCACAGTTTTAACGGCAGATTTACAAACTGCTCATGGACACAAAAAGAAAAGTCTCCTACAATTAAAGCATAAGATTTTAGGACCGTTGTTGCCGTCTTTTATGTTTAGTTTGTTTCTTCTCGGACGCTCGGCAGTCATCCCTTCTGCAATCATTTCTCTCTTTACTCTCAGTCCCTCCCTGACACGCCCCTTTCACGCAACACGGTCATTAGCATTTTGTTCATATGAGTTCACCTCAATGCCTGTATCATTCATGTCCCACTCGCACACATCTTTATATCGTAGTAAAAATCGGCCTCGACATCTTCTACCTAACTGTAATTTACTATAGAGGATGTCCACCGTTCTCCAGGGATGACCCAGCTACCTGAGCCTTCGTGGGCCTCCGTGGCGATGTGGTCAAGGCTTTAGCCTCACACTCTGGATGTCGTGGATTCGTTTCAGGGCTGCGCTGTTCCGTTCACGGGTGAAACTTTTTTGGAGACCCCTGTGGATAGTCGCCGGAGCCTCGGAGTTCGTGCTTTGTACGACACTTTCGACAGGCGGCTAGCCGGTCTACGGAGAGAGACCGAGCCATATGGGATAAAAACCGGTGCAATGAAGTCGATCTTCTCGACTTAGATCTTTAATCTTTTTTTTAGACTAAGCTTTGAGAAAACATGGTGTAATACTTGCTCTTTCCTTTACGTCAGTGTTTGTTATCTAATTAAAAAGTATTCTTCTTAGGCATCGCATGTGAAAACTGTATAGCCGTTTCTCCTAGTGCGGATAAGTTGACCAAGTTCCACTGCCATAAACACCTTGCACCATAACTGTTGTCCTCTTGTTGCTGAATGTCAGTCCAAACTCACAGCATGCTTCAGCAAATGCAGACAAGAAATATTGTAGCTCCTCCTTTAAATGGGTGACTATTGCTGCAGCAGCTGCAAACAGCAGCTCTCTGATGAGTGCTTTCCTTATTCTTGTTTTGGTCTTCAGTCCGACATTAGAAATGCAGTTCATCATTCATGGTAGCAGAATTCACCAACAGATCAGCAGTTGCACCTGCGATCAATTTTAATCACATAGGGGCACCGCCAACATTGCAACAACAGGCATCGCGCCAATTTCTGAATCAACAATTCACTACACCACGTTAGTCACAGTCGAAAAAAGAATGGGGAAAACAATACATGAGGACACCGGCGCTTACCAGACAACCACGTCAAGCATGACAATGGAAATAGCCGCTGCTTCTAGAGCTTTAGCGTGGGTATCCGAGCAAACCGCCACACAGGTAGTAATTGTCTCAGACTCAATGAATATGCTTCAGAAGCTAGCAACAGGCAGTATGCGCTCTGAATGGATAGAAAGCATTCGGAAATCGCACTTAACCTCCGTAACCTGGATCTACACACCGGGTCATGCGGGTGTAAAGGGAAATGAGCGAGCGGACCAACTAGCAAGCACTGCACCAATGATTGCAGGAAAAAGCATAGACAGAGCAGATATCGTCAACGCTGTACGAACTGGGCTAGTGGAGAATGAGGAATCCCTGACACTAACACGATTGCGTGACATGGGAGTTAAGCATGGTGATGTACGTATTTGCCGTCTTCGGGGCCGAGAAAGGAGACGATATAACCAGCTTCTCATGGGGACAATTAGTAGAAGTACTTTGGAGTGGCTGCTGCTTCGGAGAACTGAGCACGCATGGGTATGCCCAATGTGCAGTGACATCAAGTGTGATAACAAAATATAAAATAACATCTTGTAGGGAGTCGGCAGTCCGAAACCCAAGTTCAAGGTGTCTCCTTCGTGCCAAAGAACTGCATGGCTGTTGGGTGAACAGTCGTTAACGAAGGCCGGCAGTTCGTTGTAGGGGCGACGCCTGATTTTAGATGTAATGTCCTAAGTCCCCTCCCCAGCTAATAATGAGGGTACTGCTGGGATGACCTTTTAATAACCCTCATATAATGCTTCAGGTCAAAATGGACGCTAGGCACGGCCACCTTTTTTCAGACGGTGGCTGTTGAATTTTTGCTCCATTTGTAGACTGGAAGGAAATAGTTTCGTCGCCCAGCTTCTGAGCTAAGTGCATGGCGTGACACTGTGAGCTACGTGTGTTTTTCGTTGGCACAGGAGCGGAGCAACTATGGGGTGACCCGTTTGATATGAAGCTGAAACTAGGATTACCAGATCTCTATCTGGTGGAATAAACATTTATAGACCCTCTAGCTGTTTTTCAGAAGTCTACATTTTCAAACTTGCAACTGTGGGATAGATATTCTCTGGAATAATATTCCGAAATTCCTGTAAGCCTTTTTACTCCTGGGGCACTAATACAGTACTTCTTTTCTAGAGACGCCAAGCGGAATCTGGCGCGGGCATTCTTTGCGAGTCCTTTGAGGTGTCGAGACGCATTTCAACTCGCTGATTAAATTTTGGCGCATTCAAAATACCAGTTTAATCTTTGAAGGATTCCTAAGCTTGGGTAAGTTTATTATAGTTTACGAGTACCATGAAATATGTCTCTTTAAAGACGGCCACTGCTGCAGGAAAGGAAGATTCAGCTGTGTGACCGCACAGAACTAGGCCGTTCTTTTGTCCAGACACTCAAGCCCCTAAAATCAAATCTGTCCCTTCGCAGGCTAATAGTTTGTGCTCTACATGATCCACACCATTATAAAGATATTAAACCCAGCAAGTTAATTATTCTCTAGCCAGACACCCAAGTTTGTTTCGATTAGCAGATATATTAAACTGGGTCACACTTTAGCCAGCTAGGCGCTGTGACGTCAGAAGTTAGTTTTAGCACAACACAGTGTGTGCGATGAGCAGACGGTGGATGGTATAAAATATAGATGTGAGAGA